TGGAGTGGAGGGAGTGGAGGGCTGCACGTTCCATGGGGGCGAGGTTGAGGCGATTGATGTCATGACGGCAGTTGGAGATGAAGAGGTCGAGGGAGGGTAGGAGGCCTGGGGGTGATGTCAAGGATCCGGAGGGAGGAGGGTAACTTCTTCAACATCCAGGACTTACCGACTGACTCCGCTCCGCCCACCGCCAACGCCGATGCAACTCCGCCCACTGCCAACGCAACTCCGCCCACCGCCGACGTTGCTCCGCCCATCGCCTCCACAGCCAGCAGCTCCAGAGGAGACAATAGCACCCAGCCCTGCCGAGTCTTCACCATCCCCCCCAAGACCTCCCCCTCACTGAGGACGAACGGTCAGTCCTCAGTAAAGGGCTCACCTTTGTCCCCCTCCACCCACACATCAACAAATACCAGTCACATTTGGACATTGAGCAGTTTTTCCACCGTCTCCGCCTCCACGCTTACTTCTTTAACCGTGAGCCTAACCATCCCTCTACTGACCCCTCCTCCCGCCTCCAACACACCCCCTCCTCCTGGACACCACCCCAAGGCCTCCTACCCTCCCTCGATTTCTTCATCTCCAACTGCCGTCATGACATCGATCGCCTCAACCTCTCCACCCCTCTCACCCACTCCAACCTCTCCCCCGCAGAACGTGCAGCCCTCCGCTCCCTCTGCTCCAATCCCAACCTCATCGTAAAACCTGCGGACAAGGGACGTGCAGTTGTAGTATGGCGCACTGACCTCTACATCGCTGAGGCCAGGCGCCAACTCTCCGACACCTCCTCCTTCCGCCCCCTTGATCATGACCCCACCCCTGACCACCAAAACATCATCTCCCAAACCATCCACAACCTCATCACCTCAGGTGACCTTCCACCCACAGCCTCCAACCTCATGGTTCCCCAACCCCACACCATCCGCTTCCCAAAATCCACAAACCTGACTGCCCTGGTTGACCCATTGTCTCCGCCTGCTCCTGCCCACCGAGCTTATCTCCATCTATCTCGACTCCATTTTCTCCCCCTTGGTCCAGGAACTCCCTACTTACGTCCGTGACACCACCCACCTCCTCCAGAACTTCCAATTCCCCGGTCCCCAACACCTCATCTTTACCATGGACGTCCAGTCCCTATACACCTGCATTCCCCATACAGATGGCCTAAAGGCCCTCCGCTTCTTCCTGTCCCGCAGGCCCAACCAGTCCCCCTCCACTGACACCCTCATCCGCTTAGCTGAACTCGTCCTCACCCTCAACAACTTCTCTTTCAATTCCTCCCACTTCCTACAGACAAAGGGAGTGGCCATGGATACCCACATGGGCCCAAGCTATGCCTGCCTCTTTGTAGGTTACATGGAACAATCCCTCTTCTGTAGCTACACTGGCCCTAAACCCCACCTCTTCCTCCGTTACATTGATGACTGTATCGGCGCTGCCTCGTGCTCCCACGAGGAGCTCAAACAGTTCATCCATTTCACCAACACCTTCCACCTCAACCTTAAGTTCACCAGGACCATCTCTGATACCTCTCTCTCCTTCCTGGACCTCTCTGTTTCCATCTCTGGCAACCACCTGGAAACCGATATCCATTTCAAGCCTACCGACTCCCACAGCTACCTAGAATACACCAACTCCCACCCACCTTCCTGCAAAACCGTCATCCCCTATTCCCAATTCCTTCGCCTCCGCCGCATCTACTCCCAGGATGAGGCATTCCACTCACGAACGTCTCAGATGTCCTCGTTTTTCATGGACCGCAACTTGCCCCCCCCCCCACCCCCCCCCCCCCCCCCCCCCGGGTCGAGAACGCCCTCGACTGTGTCTCCCGCATTTCCCACAACTCATCCCTCACACCCCCTCCCCGCAATAACAACCAAAACAATCCCCCTCGACTTACGTACCACCCCACCAACCTCCAGATCCAACGCATCATCCTCCGACACTTCCGCCATCTGCAATCCGACTCCACCACCAAAGATATTTTTCCCTCCCCACCCTTATCTGCTTTCTGGAGGGACCACTCTCTCTGTGACTCCCTTGTCTGCTCCACACTCCGCTCCAGCCCCACCACACCCGGCACTTTTCCCTGCAACCGCAGGAAGTGCTACACCTGCCCCTTCACCTCCCCCTCACCCCCATCCCAGGCCCCAAGAAGACTTTCCACATCAAGCAGATGTTCACCTGCACATCTGCTAATGTGGTATACTGTATCCGCTGTTCCCGGTGTGGCCTCCTCTACATCGGGGAAACCAAGCGGAGGCTTGGGGACCACTTTGCGGAACACCTACGCTCGGTTCGCACGAAACAACTGCACCTCCCAGTCGCGAACCATTTCAACTCCCCATCCCATTCCTCAGACGACATGTCCATCCTGGGCCTCCTGCAGTGCCACAACGATGCCACCCGAAGGTTGCAGGAACAGCACCTCATATTTCGCTTGGGAACCCTGCAGCCCAATGGTATCAATGTGGACTTCACAAGCTTCAAAATCTCCCCTCCCCCTACCGCATCCCAAAACCAGCCCAGCTCGTCCCCGCCTCCCTAACCTGTCCTTCCTCCCACCTATCCCCTCAAGCCCCACCCCCATTTCCTACCTACTAACCTCATCCCGCCCCCTTGACATGCCCGTCCTCCCTGGACTGACCTGTCCCCTCCCTAACTCCCCACCTACACTCACCTTTACTGGCTCCATCCCCGCCTCTTTGACCTGTCTGTCTCCTCTCCACCTATCCTCTCCTCTATCCATCTTCTATCCGCCTCCCCCTCTCTCCCTATTTATTTCAGAACCCCCTTCCCCTCCCCCATTTCTGAAGAAGGGTCTAGGCCCGAAACGTCAGCATTCCTGCTCCTGTGATGCTGCTTGGCCTGCTGTGTTCATCCAGCTCTACACCTTGTTATCTCATATGCCAACATGAGTTTATTTTGTGAGGTTGTTGACTTGCTCGCCGAGCTGGCTTGTTCTTGTTCAGACATTTCATCTCCATGCTAAGTAACATCATCCGTGGAGCCTCCGATGAAGTGATGTTGTTCTACTCCACTTGGAATTTATACTGTCCAGTCCGTTACGGTGAATAATGTTATTTCCGGTTTTGATCTGTATGGGTTTGTATATGAGGTCCAATCCTATGTGTTTGTTGATTGCATTATGGGTGGAGAACCATGCCTCGAGGAATTCCCGTGCATGTCTATGTTTGTCTTGGGCTACTGTAGTTATCTTGTCCCAGTTAAACTGATGGCCTTCATTGTCGGAGTGTACCCATATTAAATAGTTTGTCGTGCCGTTTTTGCTGCCAGCTGATGTTCATGTATTCTGATGGCTAGATCAGACAGACAGGAAGGAAACTAGCCATCAGAACATCAGCTAGCAGCAAAACGGCACAACAAACTCTCCTTAATATCAGTACACTTGGACATGGAGGCCATCAATTTAACTGGGACAAAGTAACCATAGTAGCCGAAGCCAAACATAGACACGCACGGGAATTCCCAGAGGTATGGTTCTCCACCCATAATGCAATCAACAAACACATAGAATTGGACCCCATATACAAACCCATACAGATCAAAACTGGAAATGACTGTACTCACCATAACGGACTGAACAGTATAAATTCCAAATGGAGTAGGGTAACATCACTTCATCAGAGGCTCCACTGATTATGTTAACCTAGCATCGTGACGAAACATCTGAACAAGAACAAGCCAGCTCGGCGAGCAAGTCAACAACTCATCCACAACCCGAGCTACAAATTTTTGCCAAAACTTTAAATGGACTTATTTTATTCATTCATGGGATGTGTGTGTGTCACTGGTGGCGCTGAACCTACTAAAACCCGTGTTGACCGGGCTGTTAGGAAGGGAAGTCTAGGATTTTGAATGTATGAATGAAATAAGGTCACGGTTAGGCCATTCAGCTTCTTGGACCTGTGCTGCTTTTCAGTATGATCACAGCTGATCTGATCGCAGGCTCCAGTCAGGGAGGGCTGGAAGACAGGTGTCAGGCGTGCCAAGGGGAACTGAACGCTGCCAAACAGGAGCTGGGCTGAGAACTCACGCCAGGTTGTAAAGGGGTGTTCCAGGAGCCTCCGAACGGGCTGATTTGACACTCTACCTGCAAATTTGGACGCTACTTACTTCAGTGTCATTCGATGCAGGTTCCCTTGATGAGGACAGGTGGCCTTTAAGAGGGGCAAGACGGGAGGGCTATGTTCTCGCGCTGCATATGTTGCCCCCCACCCCAACGTTAAATGCCCCAGCAGCACCAGGACTGATCACTTCAAAGCTACAATTGAGTTTATGCACTACCCAGCTCCATAGCAAGAGGCACTGGTGCGTATTGGACCAATTAGGCAGTTTACCACCAGCGCAACCACTTCAAAAGGAAATTGTGGAGAACTTGACAAAGCACATAAGGATATATGGGATATAGCAGCAGAGTCGGGCCATTCGGCCCATCAATTCTGCAATGGGTTCCATACATTCACTGTCCTCTGGTTGAAGAATTTCCTCCTCATCTCAGTTCTAAAGGGTCATCCCTTCACTCTGAGGCCTTGGGTCTAGTATCTCCAACTAGTAGAAATATCTTCTCCTCGTCCATTGTGTAAGTTTCAGTCAGATCCCCCCTCATCCTTCTAAATTCCATCGAGTACAGATCAAGAGTCCTCAACCTCTCCTCACATGACAAGCCTTTCATCCCCAGGTCCATTCTTATAAACGTCCTCTGCACTCCCTCCAAAGCCAGCGCATCATTCTGAACGTAAATAAATGTCTTTCTTTTTGTAAAATAAAAATCACAGTTCAATCGCACCTAAATAACATTTTGTATTTTTTACTGGCATAGCAGCATCTGTCAACAGGATTCAGATTTAAACTGTTGTTAAAGAAGGCGAGAACAGCACAGAGAGAATTAATATTTCCAAATTATTGCTTCAAAATCTATTGACGATTTGGCTAACGACCTTGCATTTTCTCACAGGTGTTGCTAACTGTCCCACAAAATGGCTTCAGGACAGCGTCTGTCAGAAGTTCTTAGGAGAAAACGTAGAACACTCATTAATATTCTGAAACAGCAACCGAACATTGTCCTTGATGAGTTGGATGCGATGCTCACCTTCACAGTGGATGAGTATAATCAGATTGATGGGATCACAGACTCCAAGGAAAAGATCAGAATACTTATAAATACTGTGGTTCAGAAGGGAGAGGAGGCTTGTGAGAACTTTCTCGGGGTTCTGCAAAGTTTACAGAGTGAACTGCCAGGAGCGGATAAAGTATTGGTTGGCTTTAATCTTAGAGTAAGAGGTGAGCAGAAGCTTGCAAGTCAGTGTTACTAAATTAACAGTCAGACCCTGTAAATTTTAAAATCATTACGGAAAAGGGATAAGGATAGCGCAGAAGTTAAGTCTCTAAATTGGAAGGAAGGCCGACTTTCAACGTCATTAGGCAGGATCTGACAAACATAGACTGGGAACAAAAACTGAAAGAACTGTGGATGCTGTAAATCAGGAACAAGAACAGAAGTTGCTGGGGAAGCTCAGCAGGTCTGGCAGCATGTGTGAAGGAAAGAACAGAGTTAATGTTTCGGGTCTGGTGACTGAGGAAGGGTCACTGGACCTGAAACATTAACTCTGTTTTTCCCTTCATAGATGCTGCCAGACCTGCTGAGCTTTTCCAGCAACTTTGTTTTTGATTCTGTGTAGACTGGGAGCAGCTACTTGCTTTCTTCACCACCCTGTCTACCTGTGCAAACACCTTCAGGTCTACATTTGGAAATGTGGAAGTCTAGCATCGTGAGAGTTCAGAGCCAGCTAAGAGTGAAGGACTAGGGAAGCAAGTCCAGAGAATCCTGGATGTCAACAGAGTTTGATAAAGAAAAAGAAGGAAGCATATGTTAGGTACAAACCATCAGAAACAGGGGAGGTCCTTCCAAAGTATAAAGCATAGGGGGATGCTTAAAAAGAAATTAGGAGGGCAAAGAGGAGCCACAAAATATCTTGGGCAGATAGATTAAGAAAAACTCCAAGGCATTTTATGAGTATACAACGAACAAGAGGATTACCAGGGAAAGTGTGGGCCCTATTAGAGACCAAAGGACAATCTGTGCAAAGAGCCAGATGATGTAGGTGAGGTCTTAAATGAATATTTCTTATCCGGAGTCACAAAGGAGAAAGACATTGTTCTTGAGCACGTTAAAGATTAACAAGGAGATGTTTTAACAGGTATGAAAGTGCATAAATCCCCAGGGCCTGATGAGATGTATCCCAGGCTGTTACGGGAGGCAATAGAGGGGATTGCTGGGGCCCTGGAGGAGATATTTAATACTTCACTGGCCACAGGTAACGTGAAGATGACTGGAAGATGGCTAAAATGGTTCCTTTGTTCAAGAAGGGCAGCAGGGAAAGGCCAGGCAATTACAGACCAGTTCGTCCTGACATCAGTGGTAGGGAAATTTTGGAAAAAATTCTGAGGGACAGGATTAACCAACACTTGGAAGGGCAGGTATTTGTTAGAAGGAGATCCTGTCAGACTAATTTAATTGAGTTCTTAAAAATCTGACTAAATGTACCGTATCGATGACGGCAGTGCAGTTTATGTGATTTACATAGACTTTAGTAAGTCCTTTGATAAGGTCCCACGTGGAAGGCTGGTCCAAAAGGTAAGATCCCATGGGATCCAAGGCATGTTGGCAAACTGGATCCAAAACTAACTTGCAAATAGGAGGCAGAGGGTGATGGTGGAGGGTTGTTTTGGTGAAAGGAAGCTTGTGATCATCACATGTACCCAGATATAGTGAAGAATAATGTTTTGCGTGTTTTCCGGACAAATCATCCCTTGTATAAGTACATCACAGCAATAGAACAGAATTATGTGACACATACCTGATTGTCCATCTTCCAGTTATGCCTGGAATCTAGGCTGATAAAAGTCCTGGATAAATTTCATGTCAATTTCACATTTCAGCAGAACATCTGTGAGCTTTCGGTGATAAACATTAACACTGAAATGTGCAGAAGTGTTTTTCGCATAATTCTAGATATTTATAGAAGTTTGATCTGAAGATAAATATTCCCTTAAGGACCCGAGGCTAAAAATGAAACATGACTGTTTCAGAGGAAGGGAGTAGCTGGAATAGCTTATTTTGCTTTTCCACATTTTTCTTGTGTATTTCGACATTTCTCGTGTATTTGACGTGTGCAAAGAGGATTGTAAACAGATGGATTTACCACAGCTAAGAGAGTAGTGTATTAGTAGTATCATTGGACTAATAATCCAGAAACCTACATTAATGATCTTGGGCCATGAGTTTGAATCCCACCACAGCAGATTCAACAAAAAACCCGGGGAGTTGTGGGGAAGCTGATGCAACGAGGTAAGCATTGTTGACCCCTGTAAAACATCTATCTGATTCATCTACATCTTTTTTTAGGGAAGCAAATCTGCTGTCCTTACCTGGTCTGGCTTACTTTTACTCCAGACCCACAGACAATGTGATTGACTCTTAACCTTTTTAGGGATTTAGGGATGGAGAAGAAATGCTGGTCCAGCCAGTAAGGTCCACATTCCACTGAAATAACTCCACAACGGCCAGTATCCCATTTTCATATTATCCTTTATTTGTACATCAATGGTCGTTGACTTGAGTACTGCCTCATTCAGAGTCAAATACCAGAGCGTCAGTATCTGTGACACTCAGCCTTTTTTTATATGACAGTCAGGGCTCCCTGAATGGACCAGGTTAACAGCCCCAATCAGGGAACTCATATTCTATGAGTTCCAATTGACTGACCTTGTTAAATCATTACATCATGACTATTTTTTAAAAAAGTCTATAACCCACAGGAATTGGTGCTTGTTCCACTTTTGTTTGTCATTTATATAAACAATTTGGATGAGAATATAGGAGGCTTGCTTAGTACGTTTGCAGATGACGCCAAAATTGGTGGCATAGTAGACAGTGAAGAAGGTTACTAGGATTACAAAATCTTGATCAATTGGGTCAATGGGCCGAGGAGTGGCAGATGGAGTTTAATTTGGATAAATGCAAGGTATTGCATTTTGGTAAAAACAAACAAGGGCAGGACTTACACAATTAATGGTTGGGCCCTGGATAGTGTTGTAGAACAGAGGGACCTAGGGGCTCAAGTACATAATTCTTTGTTGTTTGTGTCACCTGTAGGCAGGATGGTTAAGAAGACGTTTAGCACGCTTGCCTTCATTGCTCAGACCTTTTGAGTATAGGAGTTGGGATGTCATGTTGATGTTGTACAAGACATTGGAGAGGCCTCTTCTGGAGTACTGTATCTAGTTCTGGTCACCCTGTTATAGGAAGGATAATATTAATCTGGAGAACATTCAGAAAAGATATACCAGGATTGAGTTGTAAAAATAGACTGGAACTTTTTTGACTGGAGCCTAGAAGCTAGAGGGGTGACCTTTATAGAGGTTTATAACATCATGAGGGGCATAGATAAGGTGAATAGCAAAGGTCTTTTCCCTTGGGTGGAGGAGTTCAAAAATAGGGTGGCATGTTTTTAAGGAGAGAGGAAGAAGATTTAAAAAGGACCTAAGGGGCTACTAACTGTAAGTTAGTTTGGTGCAAGGGAGCAAGAAGGCACCTTCTAAAAAGAAAACCGAATTACCTAAGAAAAGGAACCATTTGTAAGTTTCGGTGTTCAAATGTCAGATGTTTGTAAATCAGGGATCCCCTGTAAATGGTTCTGCATAGATTTTCTAAGCTGTTTCCAGTTATTTAAATCTGTTTACTCACAGGAGAGGGGAGAAACACTTACTAATTGTTTTTGTGATTTGTGTGTTTATCTGTATTAATAAAATTACCAATCTTTCTTCAAGAGAGCAAGGGAAATAAACAATCATGTTCTAAAATTCTGCCATTTGGTAAAAGGTTTAGGTCCATAATTATAATGTAAATGCACTTGAGCAGAAATCTGAACTTTAACTCTGAAAAACCAGTGCGAAATGTCGTCCACAATTTACGGCCAGTTTGATAATTTTGTGCCGAGCACAAATTCCATCCCTAGACAACACTCTGATTGAGATACAATTCCTGACCCTCACAGCCTATTTGCCACTTAATGGTGGCATGCTAGCTCAGTGGTTAACACCGCTTCCTGACAGCGCCAGGGATCCGGGTTCAATTCCACCCTTGGGTGACCGTCTATGTGGAGTTTGCAAATTCTCCCTGTGTGTGCGTGGGTTTTCTCTGGGTGCTCCAGTTTCCTCCCAAAGTCTAAGGATGTGCAGGTTAGGTGCTTGGCCATGGTAAGTTGTCCAGAGATGTGCAGGTTAAGCATGGTAAATGTGGGGTTACAGGGATAGGATAGGGGCCTAGGCCTGGGTGGGATGCAGTTCAGAGGGACGGTGTGGAAATGATGGGCCGAATGACCTACTTCCGCACTGTAGGGATTCTATGATGATTCTAATGCTTCACTAAATTAAGTGTCTTCCTGCAACTTCCTCATTGTGATCTTAATCTTCCGCTGATGAGTACTGGCATTGTTAAACGGATTTGTTCTGACTTTGTAAGAAGTGTTTTGGTAGTTAGCATTAAGAGATATCATAGAAGAAACATCTGCATTACTCTACACACAGTTGCACGAGGATGGAATCAAACCCGGGTCCCTAATGCCGTGAGGCAGTAGCGCTGACCACTGAGCCGCTGACATATGGAGTCAGGCTGTGGGTCAGCCATGATTTCATTGAACGGTAAACAGATTCGATGGGTTACTCCCTCCTCCTGTTCCTAACTTATTGTGGAAGTAGTGCCATTTTGATGCATTGTACGTTTGACAAGACCTATTTATACCTCCTGACTCAGGTGAATCTTGCTGCACTACTGCAAATGGGACTCCTGCTGCCAAGATGGACTTGCTCAATCAAGAAGAAGAAGAAAATCGTCAAAGAATTGGAAAAGGAGGTGCATCATTTATTGATTTGAGTTTGGAACAAACAACAATTTATTTCCTGGACCTGTAAAGGTTTTACTGTATTCTCTACAGTGGTGGGGTTGCTTAAGATTCAAACTTCTTTCCTTAACCAAAATAGAAACTTCTGGAGAAACTCAACAGGTCTGGCAGCATGGAGAGAGAGAGTTAATGTTTCCAGTCCTGTGAAACCATTTTTTTTCCTTAACTTACTGGTTCAGATTTCTAATGGATCTCATAGGCCAGTCTTGGAAGTGAAAAAAATATTTGGGGGCTTGAAGTCACATTGTGCGATGTTACAAAAACATTTCCGGTGAAATTCTTTTGTTCCATGGGTGACAAATCTGTGAGTGATTCATCATAAATGAATTAACACTTTTCTCAAAATAGCTAAGGAATTTCTTATGGTAAAGTAGCGACAATGCCACAATTTCTAACCATCCAGTTTTTAACAATGGAGTACAAAGGAGGTGCACTGGTTTAGGGATATTTTAGGTTCATCTAGAATCTTGCATTGTAGGGGTAAGATGTCATGATCTAGTTTGGGGTTGGCACATTTAATAACAAAACAAGCCATTTTTAACATGTAAACAAAAACACAAGGGGCGAAGCAGCAGTTAGCACTGCAACAAATCTGCACTGACCCTCTGAAGAGCATCCAGCTCAGACCTGACCCCTCCCCACTCCTATCCCCATAAACCTGCAATTACTACGGTTAATCCACCTAGTTTGCACATCCCTAGACACTATGGGCAATTTAGCATGGCCAATCCACCCTAACCTACACATTTTTGGACTTTGGGAGGAAACCAGAGCCTGGTGGACAAAGGGAGAATGTGCAAACTCAACACAGACAGTCCCCCATGGGTGGAATTGAACCTGGGTCCCTGGCGCTGTGAGGCAGCAGTGCTAACCACTGAGTCACCGTGCCACCCAAGATGCGCACTTAATTATTAAGAAATCTCTTGTGTAACTTAGTGTAAACTTGAGGGAACCTTTTTCTATGCTGGAATGGACTGTGATATCAGAACAGGAGTGTGCTTACTTAACATATTAGAAACATTTTTTTTAATTTTTCATTTCACAGTCAAACAATTTTCAGGAGGTGCTTTCCAAGCTGAAACTGGAGAAGTACTTGAGAGAGAAACTTTCTTTAAGCAAAATTCTTGAAATTGGCCCAGAAACCATAGTGTGTGCAAAGCCACAAAGCTTGGAAGAAGTTCCATGGTATTTTCTAAAGAAACTTATGATTCTCAACTTGACGGCCAGAAATATCAGATGCTTAGCGGATGTTCCTGAACCAACTGTTGATCAAACAAATTTTTCCAACCTTTTTGACAACACGGGAAAAGATGTTGGCGATGCATGCAATCCACTGGATGTCATCACTGCAGTCTTCCTTTGTGCTGACAGCATCCTGCAGCAAGAGATGATGATGAAGATGTCTATGTGCCAGTTTGCACTGCCTCTCTTACTGCCAGATTACAGCAAGGTTCATTGTGAAGAAGTGGAGACCTCAGTCACTGGAAGCGAGTAAAGGATTCAAGGAGGCAACTATGGCAACCACGCCAATGCATGTTATTTCATTTATTCGCCTGAGTGGGTGCAATACTTCCAAATCAAAGGTTCTCAATGAGGTGTTAAGTCACCCTCACCATCATCACAATTTCTTTGTCACTCACAGCATGGAATGTGGCGACATTCCTCGGAAAATTTCAGACGGATTGGTGGAGGTCTGCTGGTACCTCCCCTGTGGCACGGGAAATATTGATATCTTCACAGAACCCGTTCTCATTGCCAATTTACGTGGTGATGCAGGTGTGCTATACTCTCAGGTCCATTTCCTGGCTAAGGTATCCTCAGCCGTCTTTATATTTGTCGATCAGGTTGGTGCTGACGAGTTTGCGTTCTTGGAGTCAGTCGCTGAATTGCAAACGCAATACTTCCTCATCCTCAATCCACAACCCGACCAGCAGGTTGTGACGAGCAGCTTTCTCCAGAAACTGGCCCCACTAATGAAGCTGGAACGAAACCACATCATCATGATGAATAAGAACGTGAATGAATCAACGTTTGTTAAACAAATCCATTCGAGCATCGAGACGGTTTTGAAAGACGTGACAGACCACGTCAGCATGGAGCAAATGGCTGATGTAGCTCGCAAGTTAGCGATATTTGTGGATGAAGATGAGCCACAGTGCCAACATGCTAAAGAAGTGGCAGAGACTATTACTGCTGCTGTGGGAGACATGCCAAGTCTGGCACAGTATAAGACGAAAAATCTACCCTTACAAGGAGAGCTCTGGAAGAAATTGTCCAAGTTAGGTAAGGAACTTTGTCGCCAGAAGAAGCGTGGAGATAAGCCTATCGAAATGTACATCACTGAACTCAGAGTTGAACAAACACATTTGTGGAAGAAACAGCGAGAGTATGACATTACAGAGAGCCTTTCTGAGTTTGTCACAGAAATGGCAAATATGAGCCACGATGAAAGACACTGTTTCCTGAAATGGATCAAATATCTTCTCGATGCCACTGCACGAGAAGAGCTTTCTGAATTACGTGAGGCTTATAAACAACTGTGTAAAACATTGCCTGGTGCAACTGAAAAACTTGCTGAACTCGACAAACAAATATCAGACAGTTCTCTGGGGCTAGAACATTTCAAGAGAGAAATAGGACAGGTTTATGAAGCTGAGGCAACTCTAATTAAGGAACATATTCTGTCAGAAAATAGTCGCCAGTACACATCACTTCCTAGCATGGCTGCCGATCTTATGTTAGATGGCTTTCCACTTGAACTTCTGGATGGTGATGCGTCCAGCATTTCTGAACAATGGGTCAGCGCTGTGCTCACAAGTCTTTCAGAGAAACTGGGACCAGATACTAAAATAGCTGTTCTGACTGTACTGGGTGTACAGAGTACAGGGAAGTCTACCCTCTTGAACACAATGTTTGGTTTGCAATTTGCAGTGAGCAGTGGGAGATGTACAAGAGGAGCTTTCATGCAGTTGATCAAAATTACAGGAGACCTGAGAAAGGAGACTGGTAGCGACTTTCTGATGATTATTGATACCGAAGGGTTAAAAGCTCCAGAACTGGCAAAGCTGGAGGACAGCCATGAACATGATAATGAACTTGCAACGCTGGTCGTTGGATTGAGTGATGTTACGTTAGTCAACATTGCCATGGAAAACTCTTCCGAAATGAAGGATGTCTTGCAGATAGTGGTGCACGCCTTCCTGAGGATGAAAGAGGTAGGGCACAAACCAAACTGTCAGTTCATTCATCAAAACGTGGGAGAAGTGTCGGCACATGATCAGAACATGAGAGACAGGAAGCATCTCCTGGATCAGTTAAATGAAATGACAAAGGCAGCAGCAAAGATGGAGAAGAAAGACCAGGAGTTCACAAAGTTTTCAGATATCATGGAATACGATCTTGAAAAGAACAACTGGTACATTCCAGGTCTCTGGCATGGTGTTCCTCCCATGGCATCAGTAAACACTGGCTACAGCGAAAATGTGTTCGAGCTTAAGAAATATCTGTTTGATTTACTTAAGCAGTGCAAAGGAAGAAAAGAACCATTTACAATTCACCAATTCACAGAATGGATGAAGAGTTTATGGAATGCGGTCAAGTATGAAAATTTCATTTTCAGCTTTAGAAACAGCCTAGTTGCAGATGCTTACAGCCAGCTCAGCTTGACGTATTCAGAGTGGGAGTGGCAATTTAGAAAAATCATCCATTCCCAGGTTGAAAAGGCTGAGAATAATATCGGGAATCATCCTCTAGATCAGCTTGATGATTTGTACCAGACTCTGATTCGAGAAACAAGTGAAGCTCTCCAGACGCAAAAAGAAATGATTCTCACTCATCTGGACGAATATTTCAACAGCAAAGTAGAGAACATCCACCTTGTGGAGAAATTCAAAACTGATTTCACCTTGAGTGCTGAGAGTTTACAAAATGAGCTTGAGATTTACAGTAAGCGCAAATGTGAGGATGCAATTCAGAGGCGCAAAGGCATGGACAAACTGGTCAACATACAGGAGTATCAGGGAATTATTCAGAAAAATGTCTGTGAACTGCTCCAAAGGTGCAAAGAGTTGGATTCTGTACTCAATGACAGTAACCTCAAGGAACAGTTTGAAAAGATGTGGAGAGATATAGTCAAGCCACTTCAAGGGATCTCACTCAAAAAACAGAATATTGAAATACAATGTGAAAACCAACTGCAACAAAATCTATGTCATCGGGGTAGTGCAGTGTGCCAGAGATTACGTACAGCTGGGAAACTATCTGAAAAAGGAAAGGTCTTGTTTAAAGTTACCAAGGATCATATTGAAAGGAACTTTTACCAAAGATGTAAAGACATTTTTACAAATGGATATAACAATGAAGTGCAAATGTTTGCAGATAATTTAATTAGAAGTGCTGAGCAGTTTGCACAGGAAAAGCTTGAAGCAAAAGTTGACTTTGATCAAACTTACTGTCATACATTGCTGAGACAAACTGATGATAATTTACTCCATGGGAAATATGGCAACTTTCACACGACTAATACATTTGAGGTGGATCTAAAGCTGCATATATGTGGTCGTGTCCTGCCGATTTTCGAAAAGATGCACCAAGATTTCTTCAGAGAGAATGATCCACTGACTCGTCTGGAAGAAATGAAGATTGCTTACTATTCCACTTTTAAAGATATTTACCACGAGAAAGATCAAAGTCAGAAAAGGCCATCAGCCAGCCCTTCACAATGCCATTGACAAAAAGCTTGGTGTGGAGATTGTCGAGGATGTAAAAGCTAGCTGCACAAACCATGAAATGAGCAGCACAGCTTATCTCCAAGCTGCGATTCTACTGGACTTGCTGGAAGAGCACTGTGTGGAAAATTACACACAATACATTGAAGACTATAAGCATTTTGCAAGACCGTGGATCAGGAAAAGAATAATAAAGAATTACAGAGAAGTAACTAAAATTATGGAGATCGTCACAAAAATAATCCGAGCACTTATACGAAAGACAAAAGATGCCATAAAACAAGCAATGGTGACAGAGAAGGAGTGCGTGTCAGAATTTTTAACAGAATTTTGTGATATTTTGAAGAATGATTTTGTGATTAACAAGGGGAGTTTGGAAATTGTACTCTTTCAGAATGCTAACACAGCTAGCGACTTTGCAGCTGATCTTACTGTGGCCCTGGATGATGTCGAGCAGAAACTCATATCAGACTTTCATAAGAATTGCGACATCGAAGAAATTCTGCCACGTCTGCCAATGCAGCCGGATGAAGAGATCTTCCGTGAAGTTCTTGGCTGCGGGAAGATGTGCCCGTTCTGCGGAGTGCCGTGTGAACGAGGAGGCTCGGGACACAAGGAGCATTTTGCTGCAATACATCGGCCTAAGGGACTAAATAGTTTTCGCTATATTACCAACGAAAAGCTTGTGGCGACAGTGTGTAATTCTGCAGTAGCATCCGATGCTTTATTCCGCTGTGCAGCAACACAATATGTATTCCATCCATACAAAGACTACCGCAGCGTAAATAATTATTTCGCTTCCTGGAATATTCCACCTGACACAAGTATCCAAGCATCAGCCTACTGGAAATACGTCCTGTCTACTTTTAATACAGAGTTTGCAGAAGCTTACAAGGCCAAAAAAGCTGACATTGCTGTAGACTGGAAAAATATAAAAAAGGAAACTGTAAGGGCAGAAATTGAGAAAACATACAATACGTTTAGGGTAAAAGAACTGAAATGATTACAAATACAGGGTGATCAGACGTCCACTTTTAATACCATTAAAAGCATTAACTCCAGTTTTACATGAGGACTCTCATCATTACTCAAGACTAAATGAGTTAATGAAGTACAAAATCAGGAAGCAAAGAATTTCAGAAATTGCATGAAGAATGCCAGTGAACTGAATTGTCTAGTCTCCTACAAGAGAGATAGTTGCCGATCTAGGGAGGTATAATGTACTGGTCAATGTTGCCTTAGTGGCTATAGTTTGCTTTAAATATATTTCTTAGATTGTAGTTGAAGTAGTCGGACTAGAAACAATGATTAAATTAGGATAGGTTGCAGTAAGTGGAAAGAATCAATTGTCATATTTCTGAACTCTTATTGTATCATCCTACAACACGTGAACATATTCAATAAAGTTTGTTATGCATTAATCTGTGTCTTGATTAGCTCCTCTTTCTGAGATAACAACGTGTAGAGCTGGATGAACACAGCACGCCAAGCACATCAGAGGAGCAGGAAGACTGATGTTTCGGGCCTAGACCCTTCTTCATAAATGCTTTTCTGAAGAAGGGTCTAGGCCTGAAACGTCAGCCTTCCTGCTCCTCTGATGCTGCTTGGCCTGCTGCGTTCATCCAGCCCTACACCTTGTTATCTCAGATTCTCCAGCATCTGCAGTTCCCACTATCTCTCTAGCTTCTCTTTCTGTCCTGTTTTGCTTAATGCATTCCTTCTGTTACGAAAATAACTCACAGCTACAACTTAGCTACAATTGTTGGGATGCTGTGGACAAGCCTGTCCATCCCTAATTGCCCTCAAAGTGGTGGCAGTCGGATTACTGAGTGTGAGGTACAGAGAAGAGTTACGAAGATGCTGCCAGAAATGAAGAATTTATTTGAGGTAAGACTGGATGAACACAAGAAGGATTCTTACCTACATAGAAACAATATATAACCATTACATACTGTGTTAAAGTTGACACATTAAATATGAACATAAAAACAATTCCCTGATTGAAATCCACAATTAAATTGCTGGATAGTTTTAACCATATCCTTGCTTTTATGCACTTGTTTTCTTTGGACAGAGGAGGCTGAGAGAAGATTTAATTGAGGTGTATAATATCATTTAGATTTATTTAATATTGTCACGCTTACCTACAGTGGAAAGTGTTGTTTCGCAAGTTATTCGCAAGGTGTCACCACTCTCCAGCGCCATCTCGGATCTGTTTGCATTGCATGCTTTTACTGCAATAGCTGTGGTATTTTTTGGTTCAGCAGTTCATCTTCTTCTCAGTTGGCTTTCCTTCTTCTTTCTCTTTCTCCGCTGCTCCTCCAGTCACTGCTACTTAACATCGGCTGGGATCTTGGTAACGGGCTTCTCCACCATATCCGAGCGGAAGAAGGCCATAGGCCTGAGGCCGCGCGAGTCTCCTACCTCTTGTTCCATCTCTGATGCTCCTCTGGGTGCTGATGCTGGATATCGGCTGCTGGGGTCCTGGTTCCGGGCACATCCTCTGCCTCTGCTCGTGTGGCATGTCCAAGCTAGAATGGGCCATGGGCCTGCTGCTACACAGGGCCCTGCCTCTTGCAGAAGGATGTGACCCAAGGCAATCAAAGAGGGGAGAACAGTGGAGAATGGGAGATAAAGGGAGACAGACATAATAGAAAAGGGCCTACTTCCCTTAGCAGACCTGTCAAGAATCTGGAGGTGTAGCAATTTGTTGGATTGGAGAGGAGTTGAGTAGATATTTACCCAGAAAACAGTGTGGATTTGGAACTCTCCATCTAAAAGTTCTGTAGTGAAGCATAAATTCACATTGCATTTAAAATAAAATCTTTTTGGATGCACACTTGAAGTGCTATAAGCTACACGGCTATGGAGACAGGGCTAGTAAGAGAAATTAGGCTGGATGGTCCACCTTGGTTGGCACAGATGATGGGCCAAATGGGATCACTCTGCTCAGTAAAACTTTTGTTTGTGCCAGTCTTCTTGAAATGTTGCAGCCCAAGTCACGAAGGTATTCTAGCTACTGCTGAGTTTTGGCGAGTTGCCTGAAGTGCATCTTGTAGATGGTATACACATATTGCAGTGGTGGTGGAGGACGTAGACGCTTTAATGAGTGTTAATCAGCAGGCTGCTGGTGCTGATAAGAGAGCTTGTACGGAAGTTAGGGAGGGGATAGGTCAGTCCAGGCAGGACGGACAGGTCAAGGGGGCGGGATGAGGTTGGTGGGTAGGAGATGGGGGTGGGGCTTGAGGTGGGAGGAGGGGATAGGTGGGAGGAAGAACAGGTTAGGGAGGCGGGGACAAGCTGGACTGGTTTTGGGATGCGGTGGGGGGAGGGGAGATTTTGAAACTTGTGAAATCTACATTGATACCATTGGGCTGCAGGGTTCCCAAGCGGAATATGAGGTGCTGTTCCTGCAACCTTCGGGTGAGATGTAGGTATCAGCGGGCTACGCTTTTCGAGGCGTTCTTCCTCGGCTTTGCGCAGCCCCAGGGTGCTGCAGTGTGTTTCTTGCGGCTGGCTTTGAACGGGGTTTTGATGCGGCCCCGTTGGTGGGCATTTTGGGAACGATTGCTATTGTAGTTGAGTGCCCTATCCGTGCGGGTGACCTTCCTGTGTCCGTTGGCCTGGAGTTCACCGTCGGCCTTACGGTCGACCACTGTGTCCGGGAAGGGAGGTCTGTTGTTGTTCTCCTCCTCCTTGGTGAATTTTATGCCGGTGAGGATGTTATTTATGGGTTTTCCTCCAGTTTAGAGCGTTTAATAATGACAAAGCTGTCATCCACATAGTGGACCCATGGTTTTGGCTGGTCGTCCGTTCCACTCGACGCCTTACGGCTTCCGCTATTCACCCTGATACCGGTGATCCCATGGGTTATTCCGTTGATTTGTCCGTGTACCTTGCCGAGGAGCAAATTACTTCATGACGGCAAAATTAATCGACAGAAATAAATATAAATGAGTCTCATGTAAGAGACTGAGGGAACTCAAGCCGACCACATCAGGAGAGCGGGGCCGACCGAAGGGTGATTGACGGCCGGACGGTCCAACCGCAGTGTAGCGGCCCTATCGGAATTCACCAATCCGACGAAGGCAACGGCCTGATTGACGTCCCATCCAACCAAACGGACGGCCTGTGGGGCCTTTTAACCAATTGGCTTGGAGGATAGAGGAGGTGGGAGAGGGGCGTGACGCCCGCGCGGCAGACGGTTGGGGACAAGGAGGGCGGGAACACGCTCGAAGAGGAATGGGCGCGCGAGATCAGAAGGCGGGGAGGTGGACGGGTTTCGTCCAATCAATGACGAGGGCGCTGGCACCTGCATGTCATGTGATATACGGAAGGGGCGCGGCGTTGTGTCGTAGTACGGTGTGATTGCCGGCACCATGGACCAATAGAGGGGACGCTACCGTCCAACGGCCGGGAGACGAGAAGGCGGGTTGTTATTTGACCCATGATGGACGGCAATGTCGATCAATCAGCAGTTAGGATGGTGGATACTGTCCAATCGCCTGTGACGGAGGTTTTGGAGGGGGACCAGGTCATGTGAGACTGCACCGGGTGTGGGTGGGACGCCTGTTGAGTGATGATAGACGGTTATACTGACCAATCGGAATGAAGGGTGCGGCGAAGCCGTCCAATCGCCCGGGTCGCGGTGTGTCGTTTAAGTTGACTGACAGAGAAACAGACCAATCAGAAACCGGCGGCGCCCGGAATATGCGAACGAGACACGGTAGGGGGGGTGGGAATCTAAGTGTCATGTGACGCTGGCATTGACTGACGGGCGGTGGCTGAAGCGGAGCCCGGACTCTGTTTTGATGGTGAGTACGAGCTTGTTGGGTAGCGGGGGTTAAAAAAAACCCACCCGACTCTAACCCGATTCGTGGTGTACACTTTCTCCCGGGGGTGGCCGGAAGCCGTTTACCGAAAGCCGTTAACCTCCCATCACCTGTCATTCCCCGGGTGCCTGGGCCCGGGAGGTCACAGGTCACGGCCATTGGCCATTTCCCCCAGTTTAAAGTTAGAACGGGTCCTGGTCTAAAAATAACCCAAACCGCTTGAATTCAAACATTGCAATTTGTCATTTGCACCGCCTGGAATCGTTTGCATTGCATTGAATGCGCTGATGATATCCAACATTTGCTTGCACCAACCCCTTAACCTGCTGTTACATTTTGGATGGGCGATAGTCAATTGTTTACAAACGAGGGAGGGAGGCAGGCATCTGAAAAGGCGAGATAGTTCCATTCTTGAGATGGCTTCTGCCCTGGAGATTCCTGTGGACAAGTGGGGAGGGGGTATTCCTGGCACCAAACTGTCCAGGAATCCAGGCTTGAGGGGCCGAATGGCCTGCCCCACTTGTTTCCTATAATCCTAAGATCTTAGGGTATGCCACCACCCTCCTTTCTCACCTTCCCACCCGCTTTCTTTTTTGTCTGCAGCATTCAGTGTGTGGCCCTCTGTTGTTGATTTTATACATTCAGCTGCCCTCAACCTTTGAAAGTTCCTGTGTCAGAATAGGTGCGAGGTTGGAGTGCCATGAGGGTTGGATTGGGGTGGGATTAGTGGACCAGGTAAGAAAATGAGTGCTTAGCTTTGGTGGTTGGTGGGTGGTCCTATGGGGTTGATGTGTCTGGTCTGGGGTGGCAGGATTAGGTCGATGGGGAGGTGGGATCTGGCTGGAGTTTGTTGTCAAAGACCAGGGAGGTATGGGGTATATTGGGGTGGGGAGGGATGACTTGATTTGATTTATTATTGTCGCAGGTACTGAGATACAGTGAAAAGTAGTGTTTTGCATGTTACCCAGACAGATCATACCTTACACAAGTACATCAGGGTAATAAAACATAATGCAGAACATAGCATTACAGCTACAGAGAAGGTGCGGAGAAAGATCAACTCAAATATTTGAGAGGTCTTAAGTCTGATAACAGTGGGGAAGAAGCTGTTCTTAAATCTGTTTGTACAAACTTTTTTTCTATCTTCTGCCTGATGGAAGAGAGTATAACCGGAGTGGGAGGGGTCATTATGCTTTCCTGAGGAAGTGGGATGTGTGGATGGAGTCAGTGGATGGAAGGCTGCCTTGCGTGATGGACTGGACTGTGTTCGCAACTCTGTCGTTTTTTTTGTGGTCTTGGGCAGAGCTGTTGCCAGATCAAGCTGTGATGCATCCAGATAGAATGTTTTCTCTTTTGCATGGGCTGTGGGGTGGGGAGACCTAAGTTTGGTCAGTGATGAGTTAGGTTTAAGTTTTTAATGGCTATTAGCAGGAATTGGAACAGATTTTTAATCCTCCAACTTTTTAAAATCTAATCCTGGGTAACTTTTAACCTTGTGTAAATCAGAACCTTCTGACTTCAGTGAGCTCTTTCAAAGGGTTCCAAACGCGGAGGAATTACCCATTGGGAAAATTTGGTTTTCCAGGCAATTCCCACGGAGCCAGGTGCATCTGGGATTTTTGCATGGTCCTGACCTGCAGCTCCAGTCTATATTGCTGTAGCAACCATTTGGACATGGGAATATCCGTGTCAGTATGTCAGAGAGGTCAATAGCAGGAGGTGTAGATTTCCAGGGGTTGGGAGAAGGATGTGAGAGCAGTTGATGAGGAATTTTTTTGTTTAACCTACAATGTGGTGAGAATCTGTAAACCGCTGCCTGTTAGGCTGGTCTAGGCAGAAAGTCTCATCACATTTCTAAGAAATACTAGAATATACACCTGAAGCAGCATAACCTACAAGGCTACAGACCAAGAGCTGGACTGTGAGATTGGGGATGACTTCCAAATGCTCCCTCAACTCTTTGACCACTCTTTTGGTCATTAGGCTAACATCCCCTCGGGTAGCTTGGTGAAAGACGGTGCTTTATAAAGCTCTTATGAAGCACCATGGGATGTTTTAACAAACTCTGGAACAGTTACAACATGGAAGGAGGCCTTTCAGCCCATTGCATCTGTGCTGGGTCTTGAAGAGCAACTCGCCCAGACCCTCTCCCTTGCCTTTTTTCCTGTGAACCCGCATTATTTGTCCTGTCCAGAAAACAATCCATTCCCTTTTGAAAGCCACTACGCTGTCGGGTACCATGTTCCCAATCCCAACCACTCGCTGCGTTTTTACGAAAGAAAGTTTCCTTTCCTTTCCTACATCGCTCATCCTTTTCCCAGTCTCTTTGGTTGTCAATCCGACAGAGAACGTGAGAAATATAGGAGCAGGAGAATGGGCTGAATGGCATTGAGCACTGCTGTTTGCCTAGATCTTGGCTGAACCTCCACCTCAACCGATTTCCCGACACTATCCCAGTAGATAAGGTCATAAGAAACAGGAGCAGGACTGGGCCGTCGGGCCCCTCGAGCCTGCCCTGCCATTCAATAAGATCATGGCTGATCTTTTCGTGGACTCAGCTCCACTTACCCGCCCGCTCACCATAACCCTTAATTCCTTTACTGTTTAAAAATCTAATTTTGTCTTAAAAACATTCAACCATGTACCCTCAACTGCTTCTCTGGGCAGGGAATTCCACAGATTCACAACCCTTTGGGTGAAGAAGTTCCTCCTCATCTCAGTCCTAAATCTGCTCCCCTCTTATTTTGAGACTATGCCCCCTTGTTCTAGTTTCACCCGCCCAGTGGAAACAACCTCCCTGCTTCTATCTTATCTATTCCCTTCATAATTTCATACGTTTCTATAAGATTCCCCCTCGTTCTTTTAAATTCCAATGAGTATAGTCCCAGTCTAATCAATCTCTTCTCATAAGCCAACTCCGGAATCGACCTGGTGAACCTCCTCTGCACACCCTCCAGTGCCAGGAACATCCTTTCTCAAGTAAGGAGACCAAAACTGTACATGTTACCCCTTGATATCTTTAACATCAAGAAATTTATTGAACATACTCAATGGTTGAGCCTGCACAGTAATCTTGGGTGGACAATTCCAAGGACTCTCCACCCTCTGACTGGTTGGAAGAGATTGGATTTTTTGATAATAAAGGTTCTTTAAGTTATGGTTGGTTATGGTGCCAGGTGGTCGAGCGGTTAGAATACCGACTGGGTGAGTGAGGGCTTCTCTGTTTGAATAGGATGCTCTTTTGTCTGCACTTCAGTTCCACACAGCTCATTGTTGGGAAAGGTGGGGGCGGAGGTGGAATCGGGGTCAGTGTGAGTGATAGAGACAGACAGACAAACAAAGTAGACAGGCCAATTGGCAGACCTCCTCATGGATCAGCGCTCAATGCTGGCTGTAAACAGGCCCCTGGCCAGTGGGAGGTTGAGAGGATTCTTTGGCCTGACTGGTCTGCTGCGTCTTTCACCCTTGTGACCGTGCCTGGGAGACCTTGGGAGGGAACATGCGGTGTCCGGGGGCACGTGTGAGGTGTTCTGTGGGCACTGCAGGGGCTGTTGTGTGTTATCAAAATGACACTTCTTAATCTGAATTTAGTTGATTTAAAGTTTGAATCCTTCAGGGACTTAGCACCCTTTTTTTGCATGTTTTAATTTGAGTCTTTGTTTGATTCAAATGATTTTGAAAGAGCTGCAACAAAAACCCCTTTCATCTAGAAGGACAAGGGCAGCAGGTACATGGGACCACCGCCCCTCACAAGTTCCCCTCCCCTTCCTGATTCTGGAACTATATCGGCCATTCCTTCTATGTCACTGTGTCAAAGTCCTGGAATGGTTTTCCTACACCAGCCGTTCAACATGGTGTTCCCTGACTCCCCTCCCCAAACCATCTCCAGGACAGGGAGGGATGGGTAATTAATGCCGGTCCAGCCAACTGTGCCCACACCCATTGAACAAAAGAGATAAAGTGGGTGGGCAGAGTTTAAGGGGGAGCAGAAACACTGACACAGAGTATTTGGACCGAATGGTCTGTAAGTCCTACTGTTGTACAGCCAGGGATCAGCATTGTCATTTTCCTTTCTGTTGTGTCCGTCCCTCTGCAATGTCCACTATTTACAGAAGCTTTTTATTTCTGTCTTTTCTGATTTATTCTAACAATCTGCAATGCTGGACTTCTTTATTTCTTTATTTTTCTGAGAACTTACACTGAAGAATCTGTACCTAGGTGCCTTTTTAGTTATGTTAAAATGGTGCTGTAAGTGGTGACCTGTAAACTTTTCACTGCACTGGTCTGAGGACGTGTGACAATAAGGCTAACACAATTCAATGCTGCTCGCGTTGCACAAACCTGTTACGCTGTTTCTCGCTGTTGCTGTAAACAGGCTTCGACTTTGACACAAGGCTTGGAGAGAATCCCAGACCAGCTGGGTTACCTGGTCATTAGTGAAGATGGAGTCCTCTCCGTAAGTATGATGCGAGGCACAGTTGGTTCAAAGAGCAGAGCAGAGGGAACCGATCTCTGAGTTTGGGGGTCTGCTGGTTGAGGGGGAAAGATTTGTTGGGGGCAGGGTTCGGTTGTTCTTAACAAATCATGCTGGCCGGAGCTCGGGAGAAGGTGTGGAAGGAAATGGCAGGAAAGCCGAGGCATCAGCTCAACATCTCCCTGTCAGCCAGGAAGGGCCGAGTAAATGGAGTCAGGACAGGGGGTCCCCCTCGGAGCCGACCCTAAGATAACTCAGAGTCATGTTGCTGTGGGAGCGTTAGAGCTTCGCTGTCCGGGATGGGGGTTTATAGGACCTTCAGAGCCCAGGGAGACCTAGCTGGGGGAGGGATTGTTGGGAGGGGCTAGGAGCCGAGGGCGATCTGGCCGGGGGAGGGAGGGAGGCCGGCCAGGGGAGGGATTGTTGGGAAGGTCTAGGAACCGAGGGCGATCTGGCCGGGGGAGGGAGGGAGGCCAGGGGAGGGATTGTTGGGAAGCGCTAGGAGCTGAGGGAGACCTGGCCAGGGGAGGGAGGGAGGCCAGGGGAGGGATTGTTGGGAAGGGCTAGGAGC